TCTATTAGACCCAACGGTTTCTAAATAATGTCATGTAATAACCCTATAAGTCCCAAATGCAGCCGCATCAAGCAATCTTCAGAAGTGGATATGCTCCTCCTTTTGGTCGTTAAATCTTAAAGTTAAGTAAATTGTTAGAGTTTCATTAGTGAGTTCATCATTTGTTTTTTTAAAGTAAAAGGTGGTTTTAATTTCTCCCAGAGTTCACAATTTTCAAATGAGATGTTTTCCTAGAAATCATATAGTCCAATGATGTTACATATAATCAAATGTTCCTTCAAGATAGATGAAGTTTCTCAATGCTACTGTAACAAATATGCATTTACATTCTTAGCTATATTACCAGTATATTATAGAATCAAAGTCAGATATTCCACAATTTATAATTTCTGTTTTGCTGTGGATCCTGACCACCACCTTTATTTGAGTGCTCAAAGACAGTTTAAACCAATTATTCCATGTTCCTCAGATTTACTTTTAAGTAGTGACTTTACTAGATATAATAAGTCTAGATAGCAGTCAAGTGAGATGTGCTATTTTTTTCTCCCTATAAACTATTGTTAAGCAAGGAAGTCATTCTGCCAAATTCCAACATCTCTGACGCTCACCAAATAAATTACAAGTTCACTCACAAAGGTGAAGCTATCCTCAATCTCAAATGATCAAAATTTGTGCCATCATCTCATGATCTCAAGAAACCCCAGGAAATAAATCACTACATTTTAATAATAGGCTTTCTGTCTGTGATCACTGGAGTTAAACTGATATATTCCATTATCACAGCACAAGTTTTCAGGCAAGGGGCGTGTACAAGCCAGTTTACTGAGCCTGTTGAGTCAGCTATGTCAAAGCCTAGAAGACTGTTTCTGTAAGCAAGATTTGAACAAAATGAACTTTTTCTGCTACAGACATCCTTACATAATCTATATGGGCACCTCACAGCTTGTCCAACTGTTTTATTTATACAAACAGCCAAATGCCTCCCAGATTTCTTAAATTCCTTCCTGGGTTTTTGTTCTTTTCTTTGTTTTTTAATCAAATTAGTGGGACCAGGCCAATAATCCAGGAAGCTGTGGCAAGAGGATTGAGGTTGAACCAGCCTAGAAAACTTAGAGACTTAGTGAGACCTTGTCTCAAAAGTAAAAAAAATAAAAACTGGCTGGAGAGGGGATATAATTCAGTGCAGAGACCCTGTACCCAGAACCACCACCACCACAAAAACAAACCTTTTTTTTTTTTTTTAATATTACAGCTTCAGACATCACCATATTTTCAATATCAATGCCTTATGCTACTACAGGGAACATCACCACAGCTCTGACACCAGCAGCCTCAAATGTGCCTCAGTTTCGAGCAGGGCCTCCTCGGGGACCAGCGCACAGCCCACTGGGAGAAACAAGTGATTTGCCCTGTGGTGATTACCCCACTTCGGTGGCCCGGCTCCTCTCAAAGGACAGGAGAGCAGGGAAAGAGCTCAAATACACAAACTACTGAAAGCAATATTGCCTATTTGCTGCTTAGGAAGTTGTACCACAGGGGAGAAAAGTGAACATTTGGGAGTGTCTTAGTCCGTTTTGTGTTGCCAAGACAATATACCTAGCATTAGAAAGTTTTATAAAGGAAAGAAGTTTACAGTATTTAGCTCAGTTTTAGAAGCGACAAGTCCAACATTGAGCAGGTGCACTTGTTGGGACACTGGTGAGGGTCTTCTTGCTGAATTCAAACATGGTAAGTGGCAACACATGTTGGGAACATGCATGTGGAAGAGGTCACATAGCAAGACAAGGAGCAAGAGATTAGGGAGAGCCCAGGCTCACTTTCTGTAACAACTCACCTTTGTGGAAGTGAATCACTCCTCTGAGCCCGACATACTAGGTCTCAATTCTTAAAGGTCCTACCACCTTCCAGTATCATATTATGAACCAGCACATAAGCTTTTGGAACATAAACCATATCCAAGCCAGCTTCAGGCTACAGACATGATTCTTCTGGCTGATTTTCCTCTGGGGGACAAAGGAGACTCCTGAGTATCTTTTGAGAGTTCCTAAAATCAGAAAAATAACTCAACTCTGTTGCAAGTGCTGT